TCTTTATTATCCTTTTTTTATTATTATCTTTATTTATTTTTTATTTTTTGTACCAAGGGCATTTTCTAAATTGTCTGGGGTTATTTTTGAAATAAGGTTTTTTATTACGATAATTCTTGTAGGTTTTGCTTTTGTGTAGATTATATTTTTTAGGTTTATTACACTTATAAATATAATTTTTCTAAGCCATACAACCATACTGTGGTGGAAAGTCTATTTGCTTACACGTATAATAAAATTGTTTCTTAATCTGTTTAGATTCTTTACGTTGTCTACATTCTGCTTTTAACATATTATAAACATGATTTACTCTATCTCTTATAGTTAACCTATCTCTTTTAGGATTTTCTAACCATTTTTCCCATATCTTAGTTCCTACACTTCCTGGTAATTTTTGAAGATACCTATCAATTAATGTTTTATCTCCTGTTTTACCTGTGGCTGCGAAATACTCAAAAAAACTTATTAGTATAATCTCTTATATATCTAAAATCACAAATCTGCAGTAATTCTAAATTACATAAAGCTTCGTTTTGCTTTATTTGAGTTTCGTCTAATAATCTATCTTCTCCTGCAACACCCTTTTTATTAAGCTGGTAAAACCTTGAATTGTAAAATAATCACGTAGGAGGGCTTAATCATTAGGATAAGTCACTTTGTAGGATTGCCACCAATCATAAATTGTTCCCCTTAATAAAGTTTCACAATAAGTTAGGGTTTGTGTTTTATAATCAAAATTGGTTAAAATAGATTGTCTAATACAGTCTTGTTTCCAATTTTCGATTACTTTTGCCCAATCTTGGGGATCGTGTCGTGATATGTCTAGTATTGTTCCTACTTGTTGTGTTGGTATATTATCGTAACGTCTACGATTTTGTGTCCATGTGTACATGTCTGGTATATTTATATTTTCTACATAGGTTTCTTGTGTGGGATTTAACCATTGTCCAGTGGTATAGTCATCGTTTATGGTATTAGTACTACCTGTGGCGTTAGGCATTTCTTGGTCAACTAACCCTGTAGGTTGGCCTTGAGAGGTTGATGTTTCTATTATATCTTTTCCTTCTCTATGTTCTACGACATTTAATTCTTCTTTTAAGGTGTTTGATTCATTTCTTGGGTAAAAGGATTCAAATCCTACCGTCAAAATATTTCTTTTAATGTCTTCATTATTTCCTTGTCCTAGGTGAATGCTTTCTAGTAGTTGATACTTAGGTTCTGGATATTTATTGTTAAGATCATTTATTTCTAAATTATCAAAATCATATATGATTTTATCTAGAATTTCATCTTCTAGTCTATCATAGAGAACATTAATTTCTTCGAGAGATTCTATTTCAACTGGAGTAGTTATAAAATCTTCTTCGTTATTATTATCTATTAAATTATCTTGTCGTTTATAATTACTGAAACGGGCTTCTCCAGTGTGTTTTACATATATTTTATTATTTTTTAGAATCTTTTGGATTGTTTTATTGAGATTTGGTAATTCCCATTCAGTTCCTTCGTAGGTTTCATTACTTACTTTTCTAGCTTCAATCATTTGAACGTATTGACTACTAAATGGTTTAACTATTTCATCAAATTGAGATTTAAACTTTAGGTTTTATTGATTGACTGTTTTTCCCATAAATAAAGTATTAATTAATAAGTTTTCATATTGACCTGCCATATTATATCCTTTTGTAGATATTGCTATCTTAATATGTTTACTAAATTCTCTAGTAGTCATCATGTAATTAGGAATACATTCTACAATGATTGCGTTAACTATTAAATCTACTTCTGCGCTTGCTATTTGGGCTTGTTGATGGTTAGTCCATCTATCATCAAAAATACAAACAAGTGCTTTGGTTCCTATCTCTGATCTATTTAATCCTATTATGCCTATCATTATAACACCTAAATGCATGAGATCTAATTTAGTTTTTTCTAATTCATGATAAGCTTTTGGTGTTATGAGATCTAATACTACATGATTATTAATTACACTTATTCTTCTTTGGCTAAGATGATTATATATTTTACTCTGAAAATCTAACAGATTATTGGAATAAATATTAACTTTATTGGATACTTTCTTCATTCTTTTTTCTATATAATTTTGAGCATCTTGTTCATTATCATATAAATCTTGTACACGCATTATTTATTTGGCTTTTATAAGAATTGTGATAACTCGATTTTATTTATTTATTTATTATTTTATGATTTTTAGATTGTCTAAATTAATTATTTATTTGTTAAAGTTAGTGGGTTTTGAAATTTAATTTAGCTTTGTAATATAACATATATATATATATATATATATATATATATATATATATATATATAAAAGGAAGTGGGCAGTAGCGAAATGGAAGAGCGTTTAAAGATATTAATGGGTTTTGAATTTTTATTTAATTTTGTTATATTATATATATTCATATATGTTTTAACAGATGGAGTTATATTATGTATATATATATGTATATATATATATATATCTATAGTAAGTTGGAAAGTGGAAAGGGAGCACTTGACCGTAATGATGAGAGAAAAAGAAAGATTGAAATTGTGATTTTTGTGGGTCCCATAACATTTGATTTGGTTTGTTTTTATTACATATATATATATTGTATCTTGTTTTGGAAAAAAAATGAGATAAGGATGGGTAAGATGGACGACTGAGAAGAAAAGAAAGGAGGAGCAGGTTGGTCACGTGGGCTAAATTGGTGTGATTGTTAAGTAATGCCAGGTTGAGATAAGAAAGAGAATGTGGTGGAAATTAGAGATAAGGAGGAAAGGTGAGAAAAGAGAGAAAATTGTAATAATTGTGGTGGTGATGTGTGTACTTGCGGGGCCCACTGAAGATTTGTTTTGGGCCAAAAGTTTCTTGGCTTGGCTTTTTGCACGTGGTCTTTGGCTATGTTGGTGACTGATTTGGTTGCTTGTAAAGTAATGTATATAAAGTAAGTGATATATAAGAGAAAAGTAATGATGAGATTTTAACAGACCACTTTTTGACTTGGGCTTGATTTTTGTTTGGCCAAAAGTTTGGGCTTCACGTGTGTTCTGATGGAGTGTAGTAGTGGGGTTCACGTGGGTTGTTCGGTGGATTGCCTATATATTGGGTATTTGTGCATTTGATAATTATGCAAAGAACAAAAGAGCGATAAAGAAAAAGAGCAGAGAGAGAGTTTGAGAAAATTAAAGACAGTGAGTGAGTTGAGAGTTGAAAAGAAGGCCGGAGCTTGGAGCCTTGATGATCCAGTGAGAAATTAATCTTTTTCAGTGTAGGGTTCTCTGTACCTTGAATGGCATGGGGAGATTTTGCTTTAATGTTTTTATTAAATGTTTTTAATTAAATGCATATGTATTAAATGTATATGTTTATGTTGTGAAGCTGTTTTATTAAACCTCCATGGAATTCTTGTTATGGTTTTTCCTACTGGGACTTTTTGTCTCACCACCCTCCAGTTTCAGGTACCGAAGATGGACGGGAATTGCTAGATTCGGGCTTAAGTTGAAGAGTTGGCGTGGCAGGAATTTATTTTTTTTATTTGGAGATTTTTTTTGTGTGTATTTGAGGAAACTGACTTTGTATAAAAGAGGGGGTATTTTTTTGTGATCCTGGTTGTATTTTGATGTATTTGTATATGAATAAATGGAGGATTCTATTGGAACTGTCAGGGCGTGACAAGAATAATGTCCATTTTTTATATGGTTGTAATAGATTTATTCTCTTCGTGCTTTTAGTCGGGAAAGGATTAGTTGATAATTTTAAATCTTTTATTTTGTCTAAGAGTTCCATTATTTCTTTGGAAGATTCTCTAGGAATACTTTCTTGTAATACCTCTAATTTTTCTTCAAGTTTATTAACCTTTTCAAATAACTGGAGTAATAACTGGATTAAAAAGTTGTTTTGTCTAATATATATTGGTTGATTTTACGTCTGTCATAAAACTTGTAAATCCGATAGGTTCTTTATCTATTTTGTAGAGCTCAGCTAATGCTTGTAGATAATCAGGATTCCTAGTGATTATAAACTATTGCAATAATCTTTAGATATCTTCTTTTAATGACTTTAAATAGTCTATAATTATTTTTTGATTTTCAACAATATCTTTTATATCACTATTTATATCTTTAATGGCGAAAATTATTATTTTATTATCTAAATTTTCAAGACTAGACTTTTGTTTAATTGTTGTTTTAATATAATCCAAGTTTTTTCCGAGTCGTTTTATCGAAGTATCTAGGTTATTAAAATCTATTCTGTTCATAAACCTAATTAAAATCTTTGTCGTCTAGCTTCTAGAATATTCTGTACAAAAATAATTTTAGATCTAAGTTCTTTTCTATTCTTAGTCAAGGCTATGTGTTGTATTTCCAAATTCTCGTGAAGTGTAAAAATTTTTAAGTGCTGATTGAAAATATTCTAAAATCTCTTTGGGTAAATTGTGCATAAAATAAATTTTAGGGGTGAAAATATAGTAAATATGCAAACTATGTTCTCAAAATCGCAACATACTTTTGCTAACACCACTTACCAAATAATAATAATAATAATAATAATAATAAAAGGTCCCATCTGGGGTATACAAGATGAGTTTTGGATGAGTGGGCAGGAGCACATTGCCCCAGATTTTAAACCTCCAGTATTAAGCTAGTGCACGAATGAACCGGCTGTATTCTGGCAGGTTTTTTATGCAGTAGTGCCCGGCTGTTTCTGGCCCATTCTATGCAATAGCGTTACACATGAAGAACTGGCACCACGTTCGTAACCAATTACAAAGAGCTGTGTTTCAAATAAGAGTATCTTAGTTTCTGGCATTATCCCCTATTGCTTACAAATCTATTCAACTAATCCGTTATAAAATTCCTAGTGGACCTACGTCAAGTGTCCTTTTTTCATTTGATATTGTAGAAATACGTCCAAGTTGGTTGTATAAAATGCTTCTATTCAACAGGTTGTTTACTTTATTTTCTTTAAAATTGAACAAGCTGTAACAACAACGATGCCGAAAGTCAACGGGCAAGTGAATAAATGGACAAAACTGCTTCGGGAAGCTAAGCTAGGCAAGCTGAAACTTGAGAGGCCGAGCAGAAGCCAGTCACTTATAGCTATGGATCCAATCTTATACAAGGCAGCCGAAGAGGGAAATGTCAATGTCCTCATGCTAAAAGATGGTGATGAACTTGAAGTCCAAGTGACCCCCAACCAAAACACAGTCCTCCACATCGCAGCTCAATTCGGCCAAACACAATGTGTGAAAGAAATCTTACATAAGTGCAATCGATCACTGCTTTGTTATGTGAATATCAAAGGTGAGACTTCACTTCACATTTCAGCAAGGGAAGGACACTCTGCCACGGTACAAGCACTCGTTGAATATGCGAAATCATTGGAAAAGGACGCCGAAAGTGGGAGTGGAGCTACTAAGGAGATGCTTAGGATGAGGAGTGTGGAGGGTGAGACGGCCTTGTACGAGGCTGTGCGAAATAATCATCTTGATGTGGTTACAATTTTGATGAAAGAAGACCCGGCGTTTTTACATCCACCCAACAAAGCCAAGGAGAATCCACTTTACCTGGCTGCCCAAAGACAATATCTATCTATTCTGTCCGAAATTTTGGAAAATACCATTTCCAAAGCTTACATTTCACAAGCTTACAATGGTCCAAATGGACGAACAGCTTTACACGCAGCAACAATTTCTTATGACAAAGGTTCTTACTATAACTAAATATTTACCTCATCATTTCTTATGACAAATGTACTTACTATAACTAAATATTTACTTCATCTGGTTTGCTAGTTTGTAGAAGAGAATAAAAAAATAATTCCTCAAATGTGTGAAATTAACACAAATTAGTTTTGTGACTAGAGTCCGAGTTTTTAATTTGCAGTAGCCATTCACATCTTGTCATCACGGCATAAAACTATAGTAATGTTTTACTCCACAAAACAATATATAGTAATGTTTTGTGATAGTAAGGAATAAGCAATTTCCAAAATGTTTTAGTTTTAGTCTTATACAGTAATGTTTTATTTTTACTTGCTAGCTAGTATGAGTTGATAATATAATGTTATCTTTCAGAATGCATAAAAAAATTACACGACTGGGAGTCATCACTCATCAAGAAAGCAGATGTATCTGGATGGAGACCACTTCACTACGCCGCATGGTTTGGTGATGTTTCAGCAGTTAGGCAGCTACTTGATCTAGATAAATCCGTGGCATACCTTGCTGCAGAAGCAGATGACAATAAGACGGCTCTTCACTTAGCAGCTAGTCAAGGTAATCTAAGTGTCATGAAAGAACTTTTTTCATATTGTCCAGATTGCTGGGAAAGCATCAACAGTAAAGGCCAGAATATCCTTCACATTGCAGTGGAGCATGAGAAAAGTGAAATAATTGAATTTATCTTAGAAAATTCCTTTGCCAACAGCCTCATAAATCAGAAAGACAGAGATCGAAACACACCTCTTCATTTGTTTTGTGCTAAATCCAATTATCTCAAGTACAGTCTCAAAGATGACCCTAGCGTGGATAGCACGGTCTTCCAAAAGAAAATTTTGACTTCACTCAAAGTAGTATATGGTGACAACCGTGACATGTATCCACTGGAGGTAAGGATGCTACCTTGTCTATAATATGAAAATTTTCATTATGTGAATATAAGCTAATTATGCTACCTTGTCCTTCGGTATTTGTAGTGCATTTTTTGTTGTGCAATTGGATTAGTTGTGTAATCATGACTTTTGTGACAATAAATTAATCTTGATAAGATGTGACTTTGCAGGTAAAAGTGCCTTGTATTAAGTTGTATTAATGTACTTATTTTCATGAGAGGGATGATTAGTAAATTTTTGCAATAGATTCAGTACTGTTGTTTTTAAGTTGATCAAAGAAGAAAAACGCAGGTACCAGAAGTGGGTCGCCAAAACAAATTCAAAGTACGCAACGGAAACGACTCTGCTCGATTGAACGAGTTGGCAATTAAAATTTCGGATAACAACTTGATAGTAGCTACACTTATAGCGACCATGACCTTTGCAGCTGGTTTCACCATTCCAGGTGGCTATGACGGCAATGCTGGGCCAAATCAAGGTATGGCAGTTTTAGTAAGACGAGTAGCATTCATCGTATTTGTTGTGACGGATGCTATTGCTATGATCTTCTCCATTAAAGCTGTAATTACCCACATATCTGCATCGACTTACGAAGATGAAGATAAGCGTGCTAGTGGCTATCGCAACGCTCTTGCAACCATTATATGTGCTATTGCAGCAATGGTGGTTGCATTTATGAGCGGCTTTTATGTTGTGTTGGCACATTTACCGGTCCTCGCTATCAGTGTAATAGTCATTTGTTGCCTCTTTCTTGTCAATGCTTTAAGTTGGTTCGTGGACGCATGCCTTGCAGTAGCTCATGACTTTAAAAATGACGTAAGGGTGTTTATACGCACTGCTATCGACTTCTTTCATTGGGGATTGCGCAAAGCTATGGAGTTTTTCTTTTTGGGAGGGATGACAGTAATCCTCATTGCAATTGTGGCTGCCGTCCTTGGTGGCTTTGGATTTCTTATTTTTCTGGCATTTAGATTTAAAATAAAGCATAGGGAAAAGTGGTGAAGTAGACGAGAAAGCTTAATGAAAGAAAAACATAAGAGCAAATTTTCTTAAAGGCATGATCAGTTGCGAGAGAAGTACGTACCGTTGGAGGACTAGTTTATAGTATCTCCGCACATCTCAACATTACAGCTTTATTTTCATTTCATGTACTTTACTTGCTTTTTAGTGTGAGATTTATTTTCGACATTTAGTGTAATTGTACTTGTTATATCTCTCTACCATCTTGTATCCAGTTATCCATTAATGAATTACCATGTTTGCAAAATTGATTGTTTATTGTTTATTTATTATTATTATATTTTTTTTGTACAAAATTTCTTCAATGTTTAAAATTCGTTCATCCAAGGCAGAAGAACTTCAATAAGAGATTTATTCAATTTTCCATTATTCATTATCAACGAGATTGAGAAACTCAGGTTTTTTAATGTTCTTGCTGTACTCTAGCTTGTTTTGTTCTTAAAGCATTTATATATCTTGATCTATCAAATAGGCTTAATTAAATCGTATCACAGGATCACAAATGATACACAGCTCTACACATGCATTTAGAGAGATTGATCATTGGCATTTCAGATGGATTACAATAGCTAGTATATATATATGTTCACGGTATAAATGATGTATTGTCTAGTATATGTGAGATATATATATATATATATATATATATATATATATATATATATTGTAATTGGCTAATTTTGTTGTCAAAACAAGTCCGATCAAGTTGTAAAATTTCGGTTCAGAAATTCAAGATTGAAGATCAGAAGCGGGTTTGAAGAAGTTAGTGTTCATACTTTAACACACTCCGGGATGATGAGAACAATGTTTTAGAAAGGTATGTGAGTGTGTAAGAACACTTAGGAAGTTTTGGAAGTTTGAAGTTCTTAGGAAGTCTACATTCTGCCCAACTTGAACTGGTAGAAGAATCAAGGAACAGTTTCAACTTTGTGATTTTTCTATTCTGTCAATTGGGAACTGGTAGCCAATTCCTGAACCGGTAGCCAAATCACGAAGGATTCTTCACTGCCCATCCTAAACAGGTAGCGAATTCCTATACCGGGTCAGGGCTTCTGATCAAGAATGGTAGCTTTAGTTTCCTGATACATTTTGATTCCTTTTTGGTCCAGACTTCTTTCCAAAAGCCTACGCACGAATTTCACTTGTTTTACAAGTATTTTTCGGTCTTACAAACTTTTATATAATGTCTCTTTCATTCAACATTGAGGTATGACTTTAATGAACAAAATTTTATTATTTTGAGAAAGCCTTTTGAGATATATTTTTCAGAAAAATCAAATCTGATTTTTCTAATTTTATATTTTAGAGCACACATATATATTAATGAGTGATTTAGTAGTGTTATTCTCTATCTCATAGGAATTGGAGCTTAATTGAAGATTTAGAGATTCTAAAAGAGCAGATTTTTTTTTTTTTTTTTTTTACATCAAATTCAAATCTTGAAGAAAATGAGTGAAACGATCACACTATGGAAGGGTTAAAGCATTCGAGGAGTGTTGTTTAATCTACCAGAAATCCTTCTATAGAGATCAAGAGTAAGCCTAAGATCAAGAGCAGTTGGATGGGACATCGCAAAGCCAGAGGATTGTCAGCAATTGGTTCTTAATTGGTAGAACAATAGGGTATGAGCCTGAGTCAAAGTTCAGTGCACTTTGTTTCAAACATAGTGGATCGTTTTGCTCTAGACTGCATAGTCCATAAGGTTTTTTCCATAACAATTGGTCTATTATGCTAATTGGGGTTTCCTTGCTAAAAATTCTGGTGTCATCTCTCAAACTTTACTTACTTTACTTTTCAGTATTTATCTTTGTGATTGTGGATGTTTAATTGATCATATTGCTTAGATAAATTAATCAATTGCAAAAATTGGGAAGTTGACCTAATAATCTCATATAGATCATTTAGAGAGTTAATCACAATTAAATCAACTAACAGCTTCCGCACCGCATAACTCACATTTGATATCAGATCGGGTTAGTCGATATATTGAGTAGATCATATTTGTTGATTTGTTGTGATTTTTGCATCATGTCTGATAATTCATCTTCTATTGATGTGTTACTTTTACCTCCTGTTTTTAATTCTGTCACAAGCATACATATTGAGTGGTCTAAGTTTTAAAAAGATTTTGAAAATTTGTTAGAGAAATTGAAACTTACGGAACTTGATAGAGATATTTATAAGTTAGAAGTTTATGTCACTAATAAAAATTTGGAAGAACTTGGATATAAAATTTGAATCTTTTTTCATAAGGTTGATTTTCTGGAAAAAAAACTTAAACAGGTAAATAGGTTTAATAAATTACTTGAACTTAAAATTGATAATTCGAGCAGTGAGTTGGTTAAATCAATACAGTCTTTTCAAAAATTTGACATTGACACTTTCAAAATTGATAAGTTGAAATAAGTGGTTAAGAACACTAGTAGGAAATAAAGAATTGGCTTCAACTTCAAATGATTTATATTTTAAAAAATCTAAAGATATTTTTGTGAAAGTTGAAACCATACCTTCTGTTATCACTATTTCTCCTAAACTTATTTCAACGTATCATTTTTGTGGAGAAAAAGGTCATATGAAGTATAAGTGTCAGAAAAGAAATGAAAGCCAATGCTTGCAAGACCAGTCTCAAATGAAAGGCCTTTGTGAGATCTACAACTTTGATAACTATGGCTTGGATCAATTCTTCCTCTAACTTATTGAAATCTAAAGAGAAGAGAGATGGTTGTAGAGAGAGAAAGAGAACTTGGAGAGAGAGAGAGTTATCCGAAAGAGGAAGGAGAAAAGGTGAGGCTCAAAATAGCCTTTGTCTCCTCATAATGGTTGGTCAACAAGAGGGTTTTCCTTTGATCCTCTAATTTACTAAAATAACCTCCATTCCCAAACTAATCACATACAAGTCATAAAATATCTCTTCTCACCACAACCTACATCATCACATATATAATCACATGTAACCACATAATAACTCAAATAAATGAATGTGATAAAAAAAAAAATTAGGGAAATCCCCGGGGCCCACATGGTGACCAAATCGAGACGGTTTAAAATAATAAAAAAACGAAAATTAAGAAAATCTGAAAAAATACGAAACGTTACAAATCCAATATATTATTTATACATATTTGGTAACCTATAACTCTCTTGTTTAATCACATATATTTACTAACAATTAAATATAACTAATCACACTCCTGTGATCAAACTAGTCTAGCCAAATACTTTGCCACATGGATTCCATTTTGATAATATATAATCTGCAGCGAATATATTAATTATTTACCCGAAGTACATAAGTTATTCAATGCATAGATCAATCCAAGTATATCAAATGTAAATAATTAATATAACCTCAATCAATATATTTCTCAGGATTAAGAGTTAACTTACAAAATTAACTAATAAGGAAAACTATTCTTGATAGTTCAAATAGTATTCTACTTAAGTTTGACCCATTCAACGATCTATACATGCCAACTCAATTGGTTATGGATCACTCCATCCCGATGACGAATATAAGTCACTCCACTTAGTATTTCTACTGAATTAGAAACCAATGGTTATACTCACGAAATATAATGTCCAGTTCTATTTGATAGAGTATGAATATTAATGATTATGAATACTGATAAATTCATATCTCCTACACACATACTGTAACCATTTGTGTACATGAATTTATCCTATCATAATTAATGAATCATGTAGATCAAGACACTTGATCTACCCAATACATAGTCATCAATATTGTAGAAAGATGAATAAAACAGATTTCATTAATAATATGTCGAAATACGCCAATGGCTTTGCAGGGCTTGCATAAACCCTAACAATCATAACCATCAATTCTGAAGCATAATTCCATCATATGCTTGGCTTGTCACATTGGACAGAAGATCAATGTCGCACCTGCACATCCCAAAATTTTATGTGCTTTGCTTAACTGGTCCAGAATCACACGATAACTTGGTTTTCCAATGCCATTTATTGTGATACCCCTCAGATCCGAGACGCTGGTTGATCAGGCCCAGGCCCAAACCTGAGGGATATCAAACAATTAATATGTTAAAACGAACACATAATACAAAATAATGAATTAAAGAAATAAATAATAACGTTGAACGAATACTAAATAATAAAATCCTCAATTATTAATCATTAAAACCAAACTTTCCAAAACCTCCAATCCATACAATTTGGGAATCCATCCTATGGACCCTTAATAAAAACACAAACTGAAACTGAAACAACAGAAATGAAAACTAAAGCTAAACAAAAAAAGTAGTCCTACGTAGTCGGAGGAATGAGTGTCTGTATCTGCTCTGCACGTCCAAGCTCTAACCCTGGAACTGACGAACACCTGGAAAAATAAAAGAGTGGGTCAGGCCCATATGCAAGTCCTATTCTACTACGATCCAAACAGTAATCCGATACGCAGATACATCCTAGATAGCTCAACAATATTTAGAGTAATCCATATATATATATATATATATATATATATATATATATATATATTCACACTAAGGGACATTCACTGGACTACAGTAAGGGCCTCAACTTGAATAGAAGGCAACATGCGAAAATGCACCTAAGGGTGGGCATGAGTACCTAGACCTAACAGGGTACACCTCAACCTACTGTAACCAACTACTCATCCACTGCATATACGCACCCTAACCAACGAGTCTAAGACTCAAGCTCATCTCGTGGTATCATAACCATATATCTAAAATCCGTCCATCCGGAGTATGTCATTCCATAATTTACTGAGCTGACATACAATATACAAACTAGTTAGTCACTCAACTTATTCACAGTTGATTTAACTTAGTCACAGTTAGGATTCAATATTTTTCAATCCATTCCTTTAATCTGGTAAGTTAGGTTTAAGCGTTTTAAGCTAAACCATCCCTAGTATGTCACCGTCCCAGACTGGTGCATACAATCCACAAGTCTGTATAATTGGCAAAGCAATATTAATA